GGGAGCAGGAGGGAGGGAAGGGAAGAGGAGGGGGAGGAGGAGGAGGCACAGCATGCTCCCAGCTCCTTGCATAGGACTGGAGGGGAGCAGAGAGGACTGGGGTGAGCCCATACTCCTTTCTGGTTACCTCTCACCCTCTAACACCCTGTTTCCTCTGGAAGCCCCTTCTCCAAGGCTCTCCCCTTCTCCGACCCCACTCTTCTCCCAGCCCCCCTACCCCATTCTGAGGGGCTTTCCAGCAGGTGAGGAGGTCCCCTGCCTGCTGGGCCTCAGTTGCCCCCATCCACACAATGGTTCTCAGTGCAGGGAGGAGAATCCCGCAGGCCCAGGTGACAGGACTCTAGGTGTGGGGCGGGGGAGGGCCTGTCCCCCCGTCCCTCCACAGGGACGGGGACTGGGGACTCCGGGGTCTAAAATCCTCCAGTCCCCCCACCTCTACACCCCAAAGGGCCAGGCTCTGGCAGAGGGTGGGAGGACTTACGGAACCCCCCTTCCCCATCCCCAGCCGGGGAGGAAAAGGAGCGGGGAACAGGAGCTAAAGCTAGGAGTCCGCATTAGACATTCACAGTCAGGCCGGCAAGGTGCCTGTGCTGGCTGAATTGTCTGCAGCTGAGCCTTCTCCGTCCCTGTGTGTGCCCTTCAGGCAGTCTTGGGGGAGAAGATGAAAGCTGCACCTGCAGTGCTGGTGGAATTAGGGACCTAGAAATGATCCCACTCTCTCCCCATCGTGCAGATGGGAAAACTGAGGCCCACGGAAGGTCAGAACATTTGCTCAAGGGCAGGAATAAGTCAGGGCTGTAGCTGAGTCTCCTGCTGTCTGCTCAGGGACCTCTTTGCCCGCCCCCCACCCCCCGCTAGGAGCAACCAGACTAATTAGGAAGGCAAAGAAATCATAAAGATAACAGTAATACCGGCGGTGATGTCCTGAACATCCAACCTGCCTCCAGCAATGCTGGAGTGATGCAGTGAAACTTGGATCTCTCAAAGGATTCTTGCAAATGCCTCTGAAGGGCTATTTTTACAGGTAAGGAAACTGAGGCTCTAAGTGGTCACAGAGTCGGGGAATCTGGATTCAAATGCAGGAAATTCAGGATCTTAATCATCTGGTTGGTTGGTTGGTTTCTGAGACGGAATTTCGCTCTTGTTGCCCAGGCTGGAGTGCAGTGGTGCAGTCGTGGCTGACTGCAACCTCTGCCTCCTGGGTTCAAGCTATTCTCCTGCCTCAGCCTCCCAAGTAGCTGGGATTACAGGCATGTGCCACGGTGCCTGGTTAATTTTGTTTTTTTTTTTTTTTTTTT